ACGCTCCGGGAAAGCGCGACTTTGCGCGCAACTGCTTGCAGGATCTGTCCAGTTGTATATCCCTATTTAGAAGATATGTGCGAGACGAGAGAGAGGAACTCACGTCCTTCCGGTCCTCCAAATCCGGCATGTCGCAGAACAGCGACTTGTCCAGCCGCCCTGGGCGAAGCAGCGCTGAATCGATGAGGTCTGGCCGACTGTTTTCTGGCATCAGCACCCGCAAATAAATGAAGGAAACAACACACCTAGTTGCAGCGAGAACATACACCCCATCCAACCCCTCCGCGCCGTCCATCTGGGTCAGCATCTGATTCACCACTCGATCCGTGACGCCCGTGCTGTCATGCCCTCTACACGCTTCTTTCAGTTTTCAATTCTGCTTAATTTTCAGTCCGAGACTTGCCTCTTCGGCGCGATCGAGTCGAACTCGTCAAAGAACAAAACACAGGGCTTCGCTGCCGATGCCCGTTCGAACAAATCCCGGACCTACATCTCGTTTCAGTGTATTCATTCCCACGAAACAAAAGTCGGAAACACGCACAGATTGCTCGCTCGCCCCAATATACTTATTCAGTATTTCAGGTCCCTTCACACTAATGAAATTTAACCCGCACTCCTTCGCAACCGCCGACGCCAGCAGCGTCTTGCCACAACCGGGAAAGCCGTAGAGCAATAAGCTGTTTTCTTTTTAGCGAAGCATGTTCCCCGTAAGGGTGGGGGATAGAAAACGCACCCAGAGCGCAGCCGAAGCGGCGACTGCGCAAATATCGGACCGTACTTTATTGGCCACTCAAGCGTTTCGCGGAGGACCTGCCGCGTTTCACGCAGGCCGCCGATATCCGCCCATGACACCTCCGACTTTTGCAGCTTCACGTCGCGCAGCGAGAGGGGCACAAAGTCCACCTGCGCAGCGTCGAAGTCTGTACTCGCGAGGAGGGGCTAGAAATTGTGATTAAATTCCTCTCTATACGAGAAGAGAAAGGGAGGCCCACCGACATACTCCCATCCGCCGCCCGCACTGCAACCTGGTGCACCGCCCGTGCGACCAAATCCTGCAAGTCCGTGGCGGAGTAGCCCTCGGTCTGCGTAGCGATGTGCGCGTAGTTCAGGGGCGCCTCAGTGTCGAGTTGCATCTCCCGCGCTGCGCTGAGCCGTTCGTGTACGATTCGCGCTAGAATCTACGAGCCACACATTCATATCCGGGGTAAGTCAAAGTTGAAGTGAGCAAGGGGCGAGAGGCAAACCTCCTTCCGAGCCCCCTTATTCGGCGCCTTCACATTAACCACCTCCTCAAACAGATGCGCGCCATTAACCACAGGGTGCAGCGCCGCCGCAGAGGCCGCCGTTGCTAGGAGCACCACCCCGCGCGAATTCGGCGCCGCCGCGCGTGCAGAGGCCGAGAAGAGCGACACGAAAAGCTCGGTGATGTGGCGCGTGCGGAACGAGTCGGCGTGCTCCACCTCCACACCTACAAGCTTCTCGAGGTTGTCCAGGATGAGTATGGCGGGGCGGTGCCATGCGGCTTTGCGGAACCAGTAGTTAAGGAGCGTCTTGATCGTGTGCACGGGTTGTGCAGCGTACCGCGACACGTCGACGTATAGCGTGTCTGTGGCAAGTGTGAAAATAAAAAATTGTTGCTTAGCGATTCTTGAACGCGTTACATACAAGTGAACGTCTTCGAGTCTTGCTGTAACGTTTTCGCGACGGCCTGCACTATTGAGGTCTTCCCAGCGCCGGAGCGGCCTGTAACGAGGAGGGAGGACACTGTCGTCGATGCGTAAACCGTTGCTTCTTTCACTTTTGGACGGAAAAGGCTTACTTCCATGGACGACATTGACCGACGCGTGCATCGCAAACTTGCGAACACAAAATTGCGAGCAGTCCCTCAGGATGTCGTCTACGCCCGCCAGGAATTTCGTCGGACTAAAGAGGCACGATACGATTCAGCTTTATGAAAGAAAATCGTCATACAAGAACGTACCTCTGATGCACCGCCGACAGAACCTTCAACTGCGCCGCACCTACACGGACCTGGTCACTCTCTGACGGCCTGGATAATCTGAGGACAATCGGTATAAAATATGCGCCGAATAAAATGGTAGGAATGCCCCAACCTCACAAGATCCCAGTCTTCTATCCCCCCAGCGGAAATGAACGCGACATGGCTTTCGGGGACGCTCTCCACGGCGCGCACGTATACCTCCTCGACATCGCCGCCCGTGCTCGATTCAGCTGTACCGGCGGCATTCAAGACGCGGGTTACCGGTGGCGCAGCGGAAGGTGAGGGCGCCGACGGGTCAGCGGGTGGGTGGAGGCGTTTGAGCGGCGTTTTGTGGTACACCGTCTCATCTATGGGGGCTGAGGGATGAAGGAGGGAGAATGTCGCAGGTGAAACGTAGGCGAGGACTTCGGGGCCGGTGTGTTCGGGGAAAGGAAGGCCGAGGAGATGCGGGGGGAGGACGCGGAGAGTCTGCGGAGAAACGGGGGGAGAGGGCACAGACGCCTCGTTCGGGGCGGCGGTGGCTGTGGCGGGAGGAGCACCATTTGGTGTGCCATTGACCTGCGGCCGTTTTTGGGAGTGAAGCTTGGGAGCTATGGATACCTCGGTGTTGGTGGTTAGTAATAACGCGCTGCCTTTGGACTCGGGTTGTATCGAAACTGCTCGCAGAGTTAACACGCAGGACTCGTGTGTAGCTGGTACGGACCAACTCTCAGGCGGACTCGCGTCCTGCCGAGGACCCATACGTCCATTTCCTGGCCCATTTTCGCGACGCGCACTTGGGAGAGGAGAGTCGATTCAACGTGGGACGCGTGGATATCCTGCAAGCCGGTCGAGGTACATTCTAGAAACGCGTCAATAGACTCACGATAATGTCCCAGTCGTCGGCAGTGAGCGGTTCAGTGGCCACGGAGGTTGCAAGAGGCAAGTCGTGAACCAGGCCAATCTCTACCTGTTCCGAGTCAGCAGTGGTTCAGGGCATAATTTTGGCACACACACAAGGTCGTGTTGCTTGAGTCCTAGTCCAAGTGCATACTGTGGATCGATTTCAATGGTCTCGATGCCCTTTTCGCCGCCCGCGTTAAACTGGGCCAGAGAAGACGCAGAAGCCATTCCGGTCCATCCTACATAGACCTCTAATTTTTCTGTTTGACCCGGTGAGACGAGAGTGAGATGGACTGCGAGATGTTGTGGACGCTAGAGAACCGTTTGAGAAATGAAATTCGCGTTGACTAGGACGAGATGTACAATACTCCGTTCCACCAGAGGTCCATAGAGAGAAATGGGGAGGTTTACGAGGGAGGACTTGAGAGATACATAGTGGACGCGAGCTTGTCGAGGCATAGATCAAAGCAGGTGTCATGTGAAATTTCGATCTCTAATGCCGACCGCGACTGTGCCCAAGTCCAATCGCACGGCCATGAAGGCCAGGCCGCCATCGCCAGCCGCGACATTGCATACGCTGTACAACCGTGCAGCCCGGGCATTTCTTCTGCGCCAGATTCCTCTAGTCCATTCTCTGCTCGAGTCTGCATTTGCATTGCTGCACGCGCCAGAGCCCGAGGATGACCTCGGTCCATACCGCAGTAAATGGGATCTCCTACGAATCACGCTCGAGACGACAGTATACGCCTCACCGCCAGCCGACCTCCCGGATGCCCTGCGCGAACTGCTCACACAGACACCAGTCGCGCTCATCATAGCTGCGTACCGCCGCTCACTCGCACTCTTTACCCCCCGTGGCGCACCACAAAAGGCCTCCCACATCCCCTCGGCCATAATATTGACCCTCGTGTACTCCAGCCTCAAACTCGAGGCACCGGATGCGGGCCGTGCTATTGTCGAAGACTGGCTCGCAACTCGCGATAGCTCGGACGACGCGAATTACCGCAAGACAGTAGAGGCATATTGTCTCTATGTCCTGCCCAAGCTCGAGCAATGGGAATATGCCAGCGAATTCTTGGACTATGAGTCCGAGTTGTCGCCCGACACGCGCGAGGTACGTTCAAGTGGTGCATTGAATCCAATCCATTTATTCGCCCCCAGAGCTTCAAAACCTCGCTGCAAAGCTTGCACGCACAGGCCGTCGCGTCTCGTCTCCCTCGCGTACCCCCATCCCCGACTGTCCCGCCACCCCGACCCTATTCACCCACGCCCTCGTCCTCCTCGTCCTCCTCGTCCCTCTCATCCACCGCCTCCATGCACACCGTTGTCCCTGCGACACCGCGCGCGCGTTCGAATATCAAGCCGTCTAATCCCCGCACCGTCTCTTCCACATCCTCCGCATCCACCGCCACTCCGCGCCTCACCCGCTCCTCCCTCCCCAACGGCCCCACCTCGTCTTCGCCCTCGCCCCCGCGCACCCGCCCCTCCACTCACCCGCACCCCTCCCCCGCGCACCTCCCGCGCCTCCACCCCACACGCATCCCCGCCCCAGCCCCGCCCTCAACCTACACCCTCCTCCACGCCGCCCTCGCCCCCTACCTCTCCTCCAAAACAAAGCTCGCAGCCGCAGCCCTCTCCATTGTGACCTTCGTGCTGCTTCTCCTCGTGCGCCACCGTCGGCGCGCGAACAATGTCCTTACCCCCGGCGCGGCCACGCCGAGTAAATTCGGCGGAGGCGGTGGAGATGTTGCACATGCGGAGCTGGTGCGGAAGAGGCTAGCCGCTGCGGCTGACGGCGGGGGCACGGGTGTGCTTGCGCGTGCCGTGGGCGCGGTTCTGAGGGTCGTGGGGGATACAGTCCGCATGGGCGGGAGTGGGCTGGTATGAGGGACCGTTGCGTCCGAGTTGCTTACACTTACGACCGCAGGTGGATATTTATTCTTTGGGTGCTAATCTAAACACTGTTAACATTTACGCTACGAGTCTCACTATACACATGCACCTGTACCACTATATATCGATTCAACTCAATGGGGTGCGCCAGTAGAAGCCTAGACGATAGGAGACACCAAACGAATGAGAAATAAAATAAATTAAAAACCTGGATTTGCAAATATTCCCGCTAGCCGATTTGAACGACTGACCTCGTCATAGATTGGATCAGAGAACCGAATACTAGTGACGCGCTCTACCAACTGAGCTAAGAGGGACATGTAAGGACTCTTCACAACAGAGGCTATCAGCGGTTACTGGAGCCGAACCTTCTCACGAAGCAACAAAAGAGCCACAAGACGATATAGAGTCGTCCAACATTTTCGCGTTACATCGATGTGTATCGTTGGAGGCAATGGATTCTCTTAAAAGCAATTTTTGTCGGTGTGTGAAAGACCGAGTAAAGTGTTTAAGTACTGGCTACAGATGTGGTGCAAGTACAGGTGTGTTCCGAATTATATACTAGTGATTATTTTGTTGTATGCACATTAGTGTCTGGTGAGTCAAGAGAGTGGTACAGATTGGTCCGTGGAGCGTCCTGGGTAATGGATGTACAGTGTAGTGATTTTTTCAAAGAGACGCAGCGTTTATATCCCGTCTGAGTACGCACGAAAAACTAGACACGCCAAAATATTAGCCATAACGTCGATCTCTGACGAGGAAGATGAATTCACCTCGAGGTCGCCCGGTCAACGACGCCGAAGGTCGATGGCGATCTCGCTGCACCTGGTCCTTCAGCACATAATGCCGGGACAGCTCGTCCAGCAGCTCGGCGAGTTCTTCCGGCGGGACCCCAGAAGAACGGTGCGAATGTGCAGTACTAAATTGTGCACTCGCGGCACGGGAATGCAGCGCGGAGCTCGGAACCCCAGAGTAATGCGATTGCGCATTGCCGAGCTGGACGCTCGCAGCGCGAGAGCGAGGGACGGAGCGCATGCTTGGGACGCGGGACACGGGGACGGAGACGGGGACATTGGCGGGGATGGGGCGAGGAATGAAGCCGGGCTGCTGGCTCGCGGCGAGAGGACTGAGAAGCGGATCGCGGGCGAGGGGCCCTAGCGGTTCTGCGATGATTGACGATCGACGCGGGCGTGGACTGTCGAGGTACGCTGCCTTCATTTCCGCAGGGAAATTGGTACCGATCCGGAGAACCGGTGGCTGGCGGCGCGGCACCTCCACATTGTAATAGATTCGTTTTTGACCCAGGCGCTTATAGAATACGACAAAGATTACTGCGATGAGAGCAGCGAATGCACCAATTGCAACAGAGGCTGCGATGGTGATAGACTTGGCTGGTGAGGACGAGGTGCCTCGGGCGGCCGACAGGAGGAGCAGAGGAGAATGTAGGATTCGTGAGACGCTGAACATTGCAGCATTTGTCGTTGGTGCAGTCAACTCGCGCTACATCTATCGTTAAAAAATCCATGCAGATCGAGAGAGTTCCCTCACTGGTACTAGAGAACTATTGAATGAATGAGCAAGCGGATTTCTTGAGCAGAAAAAGAGAACATACGGAAGAATTAGGGAATTGGCGGAATTAGTGAGAGATAAAATAAAAGCAGCCGCCAAAATGATCCGCGCAATTATCATTGGGGTGCAAGAGGTAGTCTATGATCCAACGCGTCTCGCCAGTCCGCCATTTATGAGGTTTTGCATCTCCATGGTAGCATAGCTAGTGACCCCGGCGCAGCATGGATGTACGCCGTGTACCTGTGTATCTTTGATAGGCGAATAGGACTGCAGCGAGCTACCGGAGCGCCATGGTAGCACAATCAATAGGAATCCGAAGCATAGTTCAAGCCATCGCACGCAGTCAAGGCCAGCCGACTCGAAGGATCACAGCTAGGGCCAATGAGAGACACAGAAGGACGAGCAAAAGAAATCAGGGCCTTCAACGTGCCACTGCCACGATTATTTTGGGATTGACCGTCGCTTCCGGGTCGATATCAGCGGGTTTGGTTTTTCACTGTCAGTCGCCACGCAACCCATCGAGCGATGTTGTGGCTTGTTGACGTGTCGTCGTGAATCTCAGTGACGAATCACGTGTTGAAATGGCGCCATCGCTCGCCATAGTGGTGTGCGTGGTTGGAAGAGGATATTCAACGCAGGAGCGAGAATGCGCTTTGACCGACCCTATTCTAGTCAAGTTTCTTTAATTCCCTCAGCTGAATCGCCTGGTGATTTTTCGAGCAAAATCGGCTCTCTAGACAGACCCCTAGCATGTTGCGCACCGATTTGACCGCTCAGAACGCTGCTTTTCGTAGGTTTTACGCCTCTTTCTGCTACCGTCGCCAGCGTTCTCCCCGAGGGCTCTAAAGTTCCCCGTCTTCGCCGTTATTTCTTATCTTCTATCAGCGCATACACACCTCGTGGTCAGGCCCGTTACTCGGGTTACACTCCTTTCTTGGCGGCAGTACCGCGAAATTTTCTTCCACCTCGAAACTCCGTCGACTCTTTGGGCACATCCTGCCCCCCATATATTTGCGGGCCCTCTAGTCTCTCTAATACCCACCATTTGTAGTGAACATCGTCGACGGTATTTCTATTGCATACATCCAAGATTGCCGAATTTCCGAATTCCGATGAACACCTATCGGCCGGGTCATCGTGAATGTTCCTCAGGTTATTTACGACATCGGCTTCCATGACCGTATAAAACCCCTACGTTTTATCCCTCTTTCTAGTAACCCCAAATCTTCCCACTTTCATCCCTAAGAAATGGCCCGAGTCTTACCTTCAATCCTGTCTCTCCCGTCCTTGAGTTGTGATGGTCCTTCCATCCACTCATCTAGTCCCTCCTCTATCTCTGTGTCGTCCGTGGACTCGGAGGATACCGAATCCAGCGAGTCTACCACAACCTCGTCCGACACTGAAAAAACACTCAAGTGCTTGACTGGCCATGTCTACGTTGGCTCCAATTCCCTACGGGCTGAAATCCTCCAAAAAATCTTCGATAGACACTCTGAAGGCGGCTTGTTGACGTTGTGCATTGATGAATTGTACGACAGGTCGGCAGGTATCGAGTACCCAGGCTTCAACTACATCGAAACCATAGTTGGCGTCGCCCCAGCGGCATGGAAGCTCGAGACATTTGGGGGTATTGAATATCATTCTGCCTCCTTCGAAGCAAATGTGGTCGCTGCCGAGATTGAGGTAAGCGCCGGTCCCGTCGTCCGAATCTCGCACTCACCAGCAGATAGAGCCGTCCATTTCCATCTACCAAGGCCACTCAAGCGTTCCACCTTCTCGCATTTTCCGTGGCTTCGTTGAGATCCGTCATTTCCATGGCTTCTGCTTGCAGCCAATACACGGTCCATGTCTTGGAACGACCAACGGTCGTCTTTCCGCCGCTGTCGCAGACTCCGTCCTTCAGCCCTTCCCTGAAGACCGTCGGTGGTAATATTCCGACGGTGGAGGAATGGGTCCGGCTATGGCGCGCCTGGGATATGGTTACTCTTGGGATGATTCCCAACACAATGCTCCTTCAGAAACCGATCGACCTTCGTCATAAGTAAATCGACATGGAAGTCGCTTTGTACCTAACGCTGAACATTTTCTTCTCAGGTGTCTATTTTACATTGGCCATATCCCGACGTGAGCTCGAATTCTATTTGATTTGTGCATTACTAACTCTCATAATTGAAGATTCCTGGACATGCTGTTGTCCAAGGCCATTGGCGGGGCACCCACAGAACCTGCTTACTTTTGGAACATTTTCGAGGTCCGCACAACCACTGTAATCTGGATATAACTCACCCCACCGCAGCGAGGCATCGATCCTCATGTCGACGACCCTGACCACTGTCATGTGCGTGGTATCCTTTCGTCAAGTTCACGATACTGATTCAATTTTCAGAATCACTCTGATGTTCCGGAGTGCGATGAGGACTGGCCAACTCTTGACACGATCATGGACTTCCGCACGGGTGTCCGCGGACGCCTTTTGCAGTTATACGAAGACCTCAGCAGTGGTAAACGGATGTTGACGCGCAACATCGCAAGGACCCTCGTCATGACTCTGGAGCATGAGGGGTTTCACGTCGAGGTAAGATCCATGTCGTTGCTCCATCAACCACTCTTTGACTCGTGAAACCGCTAGACACTGCTTTATATGCTCATCCAACGAGCGGGAACGGGGACTCTTCCACCGACCGGCTTCGTTGTTCCACCGTGGGATCTCCTCAAACTCCAGTGGGACGCTACGCCTGCACCGACTACTGAATCAGTCGTGCTTGGCCCGGCCACGCTGATCCTGGGTCACGACGATTCGGAAGCGGACGATGTTTTGCACGAAGGCGAGGCAGAGGGCAGACAATACGGATGGGATAATGAGAGTCCGGCGAGGCAGGTAGAGGTTGGCAAGTTCAGGGCAGCGTGGAGGCCCGTGACGAACAAGGAGTTTTTGACGTTCTGGAGGGCGGGTAAAGCTGAACTACCAAAGAGCTGGGTGGAAGAAGACGGAGAAATCAAGGTATGGCCTTGTGGATTTTGTGAGCTGCATTTCATGACGCGCTTCTTAGGTCCGAACGGTTTATGGACCCATTCCGATGGACGTCGCTGCAGAGTGGCCAGTGCTGACTGCGTACGATGACCTTGCAGCGTATGCCAAGTCGAAAGGAGGACGTCTCCCAACCGAGCCGGAACTGCGTCTCTTTTTGAATACGTACGATGTTGGCTATGAAGGCGGCGGAAACATCGGCTTCCGGAACTGGCATCGTGCGTGCTTTAGTCTCTCCCTGACCCTCGCTTTAACTGATACCAAACTACCACCTTAGCTGTTCCGTGAGTTGAATTCTACTTCCAGTTGGTCGAGGCTCACATGTTTTTATAGCGCCACTACAGGTTTGGAGAGTGAGGGCGGGCGAGGATCCAACGGCGGCGTTTGGGAGTGGACGACAACGCTCTTCGACAACCATCACGGCCTTGTTCCAACAAACCTATTCACCGGATACAGCACAGATTTCTTCGATACGAAACATCAGACGGTGGTATGTCATTCATGAATGTTTTAATGGCGCTGTTAACGTAGACGTTTGAATAGCTTGGCGCCTCGTACGCGACGATTCCTCGTCTCGGCCGGCAAACCCTGCGTAACTTTTGGCAACGAGGCTATGGCTACGCCTGGGTGGGCGGAAGAATTGTGTGGGATATATGATTGAGCGTGTGGTTCCAGAGTAGTAGTCCGTTCTGCCAGAGCAAGAAGCCGAAGCAGTGTACA